GTGCAAAAACCACTAGTGCAGGAGACCAAGAACTGGGATCCAGTTCCAGACCCAACTTGCTGCACATCACTGACAGGTTGCAAAGCTATCTGAGTCCACCCGGAGCACCTCTGTCCCCAGACCCTGCCTCCCAACTCACCCTTCTCTTCTCCTGTCCCAGCTTCACTGAAGGAGAAAGGAGCGGGTTTGGGAGGAGGAGGAGGACCCTGAGGATGTCAAGGTTAAACACGAGGCTCTGAGCCCCGACTCCATCTCTCCAGATGCAGAACTTAGGGTCATTTCTCCTCCACCCGGACAAGCTTCAGTTCAGTGGGGGTAAAACAGGATGACTGAGGAAAACATCCTATGTGAGGATTTAGCACTGTAACAGCCAGTGGATGGCAGCAATCAGATCATCATCATCGTCGTCGTCATCGTCATTATTATGACCCCAGTAGCCCAGCCCCTGGCATCTTTATTTTCTGACAGAGGAGTCTGAAGTGAGAGACAGGTAAGGTTCAACAAGGGAAGGACACTAGGTCACTAGTCAGGGATTCTAGAGGTTCTGTGAAAGGTGCAAAGGGCCAGCCAAGCTGAGGGGTCACTGGTAGCCCAACAAGTCTGGGGGGCTCCTTCTCCTTCCCACTATAGCCCACCTCTGAGTCCCCCCAACCATCACAGGAGGGGCCCAAGGATGAGGGGTCACTCACCGCCATGACCAGCTCAAACGGATACTTGTAGACGCGGACGGGAGACTGGTACTTCTGCACCATGTCCCTGCTCCAAGGCACACAGGCAGGGCTGAGCACAGAGCCTGGGGTGAGGGGTGGCTGGTGAGCTTGCCGTTCCTTCCTCATGAAGCAGGAACCCTGCCCTTGCGCCCAGCCTCTTGCCTGCTCCTACACTTTGCCCAGGCCAGCATTCCAAGTGAGAGACTAATGCCATCCCCAAACTACACCAGGACAGGCCTCAGACACCTGTCCGCCCACTGACCACATTCACCCCTCCATGAGCAGGCATCACCCCACACATTCCTCTGTTATCACCCCTCACCACACCCAGGAGAAAACACACACAAATGTGCAATTCTTACACACCCACAATACTCCACGCATGGGACCCACAGCCTACCACAGACTCCTAACCACAGCCCCCCAAGTATCCTTATATCTTCCCTCCCATTTTCTCTGAAAACACCCAGACACACTGTCTTCACCAATCTCACCTGCACTGTCTCTGCCACACGCATGCACACGTACCTGACTCTCCACCTACACAAGACGATCCTTGCACACTCACACAACTTTGCACCCACTTGCAACTGCCTGGAGCACACATCTACCCAACTCCACGACATACACAATCCCCATGTTGTACGCAGACGTTCACAGGAACCTAAGTAAACGCACGCACACCCACACAGAAGCACGCACACACCAAATGCAGGCACAGACCCCTGCAGCTCCACTCACCCTCACCCTCACCCTGGAAGCCGCTGCAGACCCAGCCCGCAGTGCCCTGGGCGCTTGCCTGATCCGGGGATTGAACTCACCGCGACCCCAACAGTTGTCTGTCCGGAGCAAAGCGCCAAAGGTGGAGTCTGACCGCGGCAAGGGGCGTGGGGTGTTGGGGACCGCACAAGGTTGTGGCCCCGCCAGCGAAGGAGGGATCCGAGGGCAGGAGTGAGACGCGCTAAGCCTGGAGCGCTCCAGTACCCAGGACAGCGGAGATCTCGGCTCGGCCCCGCCCCTGCCTGGCCACGCCCAGACCTACCTTGGCCCCTGACTGGTCCCGCCCCAGACTGGCCCCGCCCTTCTCTGATTCGGCCCAACCCTAGTCCCGGGATTTACATGTCGGTTATTTGATTCCGCCTCCAAC